GGTAGACACTATTCCAGACATTGGGAATAGTTTACATGTAGGTAAAATCAGAGGATGATGAGAATTTGGCCTAGAAGAGACCTAAGAGGTCTAGCTTCTTCATTTTTACACATGAGAAATTCAAAATCTAGAATCAATTTAACTAAGGCTACACAGATAGTTAAGAGCTGAGATTGGAACCCAGGTCTTTTGACTCCAAACAGACCTATCTCTTTTCATTCTGTCTCTGAAATTATTAGCATGGCATAAAAAAGTCACTTATTTGACCTCAATTTCCTCATATCTAAAATGAGGATAAGAATATTTGTAGAGCCTATTACAGGGTAGTTGTGAGAATCCAACGAGATAATGTATGCAGAGTGTTTTGTTAACTTTAAAATGCTATGAAATGCCTGCTATTGTTATTATTATTATTGTTGTTGTTATTATTATTGTTGTTATTATTATTATTATTATTATTATTACTACACCAAGCAGGAGAGGGTAAGATGAATAATGTAGCTTGGCTGGAGTGTAGTGTGTGAAAACCAGTGAAAGATAGTGTGTGAAAAGTATGAAATAAGGCTAGAGAGGCAAGTTGTGGAAGGCGTGGTATGCCAGTCTAAGGAGCATATGTTTTATTTGGTAGGCAATGGGGAACCATTGAAGGTTGTTGAGCTCAGGAATGATTTGATCAAGTGGTGAATCAGAACATTTGCTTTGGTAGTGGTGTGAAGAAAGCAATGTGGCCAAAGGGAAAGACAAGAGGCAGGAAGATGAAATGGAGGTTGTTTTGACAGTCAGGTGACAGGGGGTGAGTATCTGAACTGGGACAGTGGCTCCTTATTATTGGGTGTCTCAAATCTAAACTCTTTTGTTTAGGTCTTCATTCAAGGGCTCCATCCAACTCACTCTTCCCTAGTATGATACAGAAGATAGGGCACTGGAGTAAGAGTCAGGGGGATAAGGATTCTAATTCTGCTTTTGACACTATCTGTGTGATCTCTGGCAAGTCACCTCACTTCTCTAGGCCTCAGTTTCCTCAGATGTAAAATGAAAAGTTTGGTCTTGATGTCCTCCAAGGTCCTTTTTAGCTCAAAACCTACAATTCTTTGATTTATGAACTTAAGAGTCTCACCTACGGCACATACTAACCGTGTGACCCTGGACAAGCCACTTCCTCCCTGAATCTTAGAAAAAGAAGGTAAAATCTGTAAAATGACAGGGTTGGACCTGCTTGCTCCTGAAGCTCTCTACATGTGTGATCCCTCTTCTCCAGTCTCCCCACATCTCTAGCAACATCTTTTTTTCACTCCCTAGATCAGTCTTTCTGTTCCAACCAAGTTAATTTGCTTATGATGGAATCCAACATCCGCCATGACCAATTCTACCCTTCATGCCTTTGCACAGTGCCTATCCAAGGGATTCCTGCACTGAATGGGAGGCTGGGTCAGGGGATCTCTAAGGCCCCTTCCCACCCTAGCATCCTATGTTCTTCAAGTCTGTACTGTGTTATTTTGTTGGCAACTGATTGTCTTATCGTGAATGTTTTGTCATCTCAATTGTAAACATTACAAAGGTAGTCAAAGGCTGTATCTTCTTTTCTTTTGTATGCTGCCTGACACAATGGTCTGAACACAGCAGGAGGTCAATCCTCCTTAGCTAACCCCAGAGTCTGGCAAATCTATGTACAAGCGAAATTGAGGATCATTGCTGCCTGCTCAGGAAATGTCAACAGTCAGATGGAGGGACTTGGCCGGTCTCATCCACTCTCAAGAGCCCTAAACCCAATTGCAATTTTTTTTTAAAAAGAAAAAGAAATCAGGATTTAAAAAAGAAAATTGGGTGACCTGAGCTTTAATAAGATGAATTAGTGCTCTCGTTGGACACCATGAAGGAGCTATCATTCAGAATGGAAAAAACACAACAAGGGCTAACTGGCAAATGGTGATTTGATTATGTCTTGAGTGCCCTGTTATAGAGAGAATGAATAGAGGCCATCATTTTGTCCAACCTCTGATGGCAAGATAGCCCCTGAAATGAACTACATACCCAGGATAATTACAGCATTTAAGATCTTGGATCAATAATGAAGGAGAAGTCTTCACTAGTTTATACTTTGCTGAAGTATATATGCTGTAAACTCATAAACTGACCCATTTCAGGTACTGGTCAGTATCCTTTGGTCTGAACCAAAAGGAACATTGTTTCCCCCATATTCCTTTTTCAAATAGGTTCTTCATGTTTGATCACTCACATGAATCAATTAACGATATCACACAGTAGCTTTGCATACTTCTAGGGAGTACCTGGAAAAGCCGTTCTGATTCAAAGTATCCCAACTGTCAACCAATCAACCATCAAGCATTTATTAAGGATTTGCTATATGTCTGGCAATATGCTAGGTACCGTAAAAAGGAAGGCAAACATGAGCCAGTCCTTTGCCCTCAAGGGACTTACATTCTATACTACTGAGCCTATTGAGGGTTTTCAGGGAAAACTATTCCCTGTCTTATCAAATTTGCTGTGGGAGAAATATCTCCTCTTTGAGTTCAGGTAGTGAGTGAGTAACTGCTACCAAATATATATTTATCACAATGCAGAAATTATGGAGGTAAAAAACTAGGTTTTATTATTGTACTCAAGCATAGGTTCAGGCCTCAGAGAAAATCTGGACCCTCATTTAGGATTCTAATGAGATTTCTTATGGGAAAAATTATGTCAGAGAAATAATTCATTTACATATTACAGTCCTATACATTCCTCTTGGGTCATAAAAGTTAAAAAGAAGATAGATCTGCAATCACATACTGCCTTCAGTGTCATGAAAGTTGAACAAACTTAGTTAAAGAGAGTCATAATCTCACATCCCTTAAGGAAATAAACTTTATCAAACAAACTCTAGGTAAACTAAGTCAGGTTACAGATTAAACTACATTGGGAAAATTCACAAATAGACTAACTGAGGGGGATTTACACGTTGACAAGGAGTTAGGAACAGTTGAGCTTTTTCCTCTGGCTTCTTACCTAAGAAATCCTTTTTTTTTGTGAGGCAATTGAGTTTAAATGACTTGCCCACAGTTGAACAGCTAGTAAGCATTATGTGTCTGAGGCCAGATTTGAACTCAGGTCTTTCTGATTTCAGGGCTGGTGCTCTATCCACTGCACCACCTACCTGCCCTCTAAGAAATTCTTAAGGTCTGTAAGTAAATTTCCATAACCCATGGGAGAGGTTTGCTCAGGTCAGGTTAATATTAACCAAAAGATTCAGGAAGAATTAAAAAAAACTCCCACAACAAGGACATCATCGGATTTTAAACATGATGATTCATGATCTTTGAAGTAGACATGCAGAGATTACATGATTCAAAGGACACAGAACCTTTGACCTTTTTGTTTGCTTCTATTGGCCCAGGAGATCCTAGCTATCTATTGTGAAGTAGCAGCCTAGCATAGTGGATAAGGTATTGGACCTCAAATCAGGAAGACCTGGGTTCAAATTCTTCCTCCAACACTTAGTTCTATGACTCTGCTTAAGTCACTACCTTCTCTATACCTCAATTTCCTCATCTATAAAATCATGGGGAAGGTGTACTTGATGGTCTTTAAAGTTGTTTCCACCTCTAAATACGTGATTCTGTGGTCTTAGTTTCCAGGCTTGGGACGTAACAAGATATCCAAAGAAAGGCCAGATTTTCTAATACACAAAATCTTAAGTGGTCCCTATGGAAGTGATAGGAATTTCCTTCTCTGTTAGTTCTACTAGGACCAGGATCTTCCTACAGCGTCCTTCTCCAAGGCTGGTCTGGGAATTAGGGCATTTCAGAGTTTGGAAGATCATGGATCTAGCTAGAAAATTTCTCAAGGGACATGCAACACACCTGATCCAGAATCTAGCTCTACCAAATAGCTAACAAGTGGTTAACTAGCCTTTGCTTAGACACCTCTAGTGAGGAGAACCAACCCTTCCTAAAGGCAGCCTATTCTACTTTCCGATAGCTCCAATTGTTAAGAAGTTCTTTTTCGTCTTACATAAATTTGCTTCTTTGCAGATTCCACCCACTGTTCCCAGCTCTGCCTTGTGGGGCCAAGCAGATTTTGTGGTGACCAGATTGATAACTGAAGGATAAGACCATAGACCCCACATCCAGTCTCATTCCTATTGTCATTTGGTCATTTCAGTCACGTTTGAATCTCCATGACCCCATTTGGGGTTTTCTTGGCAAAGATACCGGAGTGCCTTGCCATTTCCTTCTCTAGCTCATTTTAATGAGGAAACTGAGACAAATAGAGTTAAGTGACTTGCTCGAGGTCACACAACTGGTTAGTGTTAGAGGCCAGATTTGAACTCAAGAAGATGAGTCTTCCTGATTCTAAGCACAGTGCTCTATCCACTGCATCATCTAATTGCCCAGTCTTGTTCCCAAAGTGTCCTAAATACATGACAGAATAAAGCTGAAAAGCCATGTCTGTCTTCTGTAGTTACAATGATGGGTCGCATAGAGAGTGAGAGGGATAACTTAAGGATAGCCTGTATCCTACAATGGTCTCCATCCAATGTCAAGAGAAGTAAGTGGCGGGTCCCCTAGTATGTTGAATGACCCCTTGTTGAAGATTTACATCAGGGGCTCTTCATGTCTTTGGTGTCAGAGACCCCAGTCTAGTGAAGCTTAGAGATCTATTCTCAAAATAAGCATTTAAAACAATTGAAGGAAATGCTAAGTTTCAGTTACAGGTTAGTGCAAATAAAGATGTAACTTGACAGACCACATGAAATCTATCCGTAGTTCCCAGGCTAAGATGCTCCGGTTTATAGGAAGATATGGGTAAGAACTGTATAGGAGGAGAACATATGGGTGGGTTGCTACTAGCGCCATTGGAGGGAGTACCCACATCAGTAATTTCCTAGAGCCATTGAAGGGAGGATGATCTGTTTCCTATCTGTCCTAAAGAATTTTGGTTTTGAGTTTTTGTCTCAGGAAAAGCATAGAACAGCAAATTGTACTTGTTAGAAAACTTACCTCCACTGCAGCTTTTGCCCTTTCAAATTCCTCTTCTAAGGAGTGGTTTCTGGAGAGTAATGCACTTCCCCAGCGCTCTTCTTTGGTCAGGCGAGCCTAAAAGAAGCCCAAAACAATGACATTGGAATCAAATGAGCCACAGCTGCCTGACTCTTTCCCCATTTCACTCCATTTGGCCTCCATCAGAACTCAAGAGGTACCTGCAAGAGAACTAAGCCTTTTGTTTGCTACTTAGCAATAGGAATATTTCTCAAAGGGCGGATGACCATCCTTCCATGGGATGTAGAGAGCTGCTTATGGGCCAGGATAGACTTAACAGCAGAGCTAGCCCCATGGAAAAGTAAATGCTCAGCCAAGCTGGAGGTCAGATGTCCATCTCTCTTCCCAGATGCCTCATACACTCATGGCTTCACATCACTTACTACTCTTTGCCAATCATGCTGCTTCTACTATGGCCATCCTCTTCAGGCACCTCCCACTGGAATTACCCAGATTCTGCCCTAGATGTCTCTGATAGATGAGCTTTTGCCTCATGTTGCCTTCTTGTCTCTCCCTGGCCCTCTCCCTTCCCTGGGACCTCCTAGTTTTAGTTCCCCTTTAGGCATTGTCTTTTCCAGTTAAAATATAGATTCTTTGAGATCTCTTGGAATTTGTGTTGGTATCTCCAACACTTAGCAAAGGGCCTGGAAAATAGTAAGGGCTTAATAAATGCTTTATAAGCCTTCTCTCCCTCCTCTCCTTTATTCCTGGATGTCTTCCTTCTCCTGGAATCCTTCCTTCCTGCATCCCAGTCCAGCCTATCATAGCAGGGCAGGCTGTAAACCTTCCTCTGCTTCCTCCCTGCAACAATAATCTAATGGGCCTCATCTCATTTCCTTAGAGCCCAATCTTTGCTAAGGAAGAACAGTGGATAATAGGCCATACCTAGATAGATGCATTAATCGCTGCCGATGCGTTACTTTTTAAAATTAAATGCTAAATTTTCAATTACAAAGCACTTATTTTTTCGTCTCTCCCACCCCACTGCCCCAGCAGGGGGAAAAAGAAAGAAAAGCTAAAGTCTTGTAATAAACATGCATAATCAAGCAAAACAAATTCCTACATTGGCCATGTCCAAAAATATGTGTCTCTTTCTGCAGATTGAGTCCACTGTCTTTCTGTCAGGAGGTGGGCACCACGCTTTATCATCGGTGTAGAGGGAAATGATTAGAATCAGGAGAACACTTTATATTACGGTGTGTTAATTTTTACAGGTTGCATAACACCCTCACACAGTTACATGCACACATCTCCAGAAGGCTCTGAAGGAGTGTCTCTAATCATGTGAATTTTGAAGATAGTTGTAAACTCTGAGTCAGACGAGAATTCATTTAGTCTAACTTCTCCAAGCAGGAATCCCTTCTCCAATATCCCTGACCAAAGCATGGGAATTAGAGAGCGAAAGGACCTTAGAGGTCATTTACTCCAATCCTTTCAATTTGCAGATGAGGAAACTAAGGCCCAGAGAAGTTACATGTCTTGCTCGAGGTCATGTTGTTAGTAAGTAGCAGAATCAGAATTTAAGTACGGGTCCTTTATCTCCAAATCCAGGATTCCTTCCTATATTCCACAATGCCTTCACCCAGCCCCAGCCTGAGCATTTCAGGCTTGCTAGGTTTTGAGTGGATCTTGCTATTATTTGGACAGCTTTGATGATTAAAAAAGCACTTCCTTATAGGGCAATAGGGATTGGACCTGTGATTTTATTGGAATTGGGAACTCCCTCTTCTAATAGAGGTCAGTACCTTCTCTGAAACTTGGAGAATAAGAGAGATGCCTTAGAGTACTGATTAAGTGACTTGCTCAAAGTCACATAGCCAGGGCAGGATTTGAACCTGGGTCTTGCTGGCTCCAAGGCCAACCCTCTATATATTCCGCCATGCTGTTTCTCTACATGCTTCTATTGAGCCCCAATCTGTCTCCAGGTAGCTTCCACCTACTGGTCCTCACTCTGCCCTCTGGGGCAACACAAATAAGATTACATCGTCTTCCATGGGATAGCCCTTCAGATGTTTGAAGAGAGTCAGTAGGAATGATTTTTTTGAACAGAAACATTTTCTGCCCACAAGGAACATGTGGCTACCTACTCTGCCTACCTCTTAGAAAGCATAGAATCGATGTGCATGTCCGACGATAACATATGGTTGTTCTACTTGCTGACATTGGTCAGGTGCATCTCCTCTCCACACACTAGTCTCTTCCTCCCTGTTCTTGGATCATTCCTCACTTGACCCTTTGGCCAGGGTCAGTCTACTTCTCTTCCCTTCCATTTTATAAATAGGGGTGAGAACCTGGAAGTGTTTGGAACATATATACCATAGAAAGGATGCTATTTTCACTCCTCCTTGTCCACAAGCAGCCTTATTCCTCTCCTTCTGGTGGATGAGACCTTTGGCACAGAACCTGGTTACAGATGCCCCTTAGGATTACAGGGCGCTAAGAAGCCTGGAGAACCCCTGCCTCTGATGCCATCTTCTCAGCACCAACTGCAGAGCTGGATCATGCGTCGCTTTCCTTCTGCCAAGTCAGTTTTAACTACATTTAGGGCTTTTGCTTGCAGAGATCGAAGAATCAAACCGTTTAGTGCAAACCCAGAATACTATACTCAGTACCTGAGTAAAGAATGAATTTTAAGTTGGTCAGTTTTGAAGTCCCACTATCCAATGGGGCTACAGCTGCTTTTTTTTTTTTTTGCAAGGCAATCAGGGTTAAGTGACTTGCCCAGAGTGACACAGCTGGTAAGTGTCAAGTGTCTGAAGCCATATTTGAACTCAGGTCCTCCTGACTCCAGGGCCAGCACTCTATCCACTGCACCACCTCATTGCCCCATAGTTGCTTTCTTCTCAACTTGTAGATGTTTGATCATTTTAGGGAAGGACAGAGAAAGGGGATCCAGAATGGAATAGAGGCTGCTTGAAGATAAAAGGTGGGGCTTCAGGAAGGATATTCTTTGTCCTGACAGGTAGTGTTTCACAGTGGATAGAGAGCCAGCCTCATAGAGAAGAAGACTTGGGTTTGAATCCCATCTTGGTTACATATTGGCTGTACCTGGGAAGCTGAGAGGGTCACATAACTTCTCAGTCTCTAAGACTAAGGTGCAGAGTAGGCATTGATCTGTGTTGTGAGAAGGAATTTCCTCATTGGGAACTCTCCACACAAGTCACAGGTCCCAAAAAAGGAGGAACTCTTATACCTTATTCATTTGGAAATATAAGCAATGGAATCCTTCCAGGCATGGTTAGTGATTTCTGTTTAACAATTATATACTTTAGGCATTAATATTTAGAGTTTTAATATTAAAATTAAAAAATGGCTTCTTTGCCTTAAACCAGATTTTTAAAAAAATCTTAATACTTAGAAGCCACTTGGACTGTACTTGTCACTTCGATTTTCAGTGATGTATACACAATTAATTTATTTTCTAATTTATGCACATTAATACCCATTGCAGCAACTCCTCTTCATGATTGTTCTCCTGGGTTTGTATACTCTCATTTTCAACAGCATAAGAAATCTGATTCCATTTGTGCTGCTTTTCTTACCAATCATCTCTAGGATTCTGGAGCATTAACAGAATAGTAGAATCAAAAACTATACCTGAAAAGTATTTCCAGAACACACTTCCCTCCCCAAAGAACTAACAAGTTAGAGGGAGACAATATCCAAAGTTGCTGGATAAATACATTTTGAAGAGATGTACTCAGAAACAGAAGCTACACTGTTATCTGTCACTATTGAGCAGACACCAAACAATGGTGTCTTAAGTCTTTAATATTTAAAAATAAAGACCGAGGGATAATGTGGCAGGGTAGATAGAGGGTATTGATGAAGTCATAGACTTGGATGAAGAAGATGATGATGAAGATGAAGATGAAGGAGGAGGAGGAGGAGAAGAGGAAGAGGAAGAAGAAGAAGAAGAAGAAGAAGGAGAAGAAGAAGAAGAAGAAGAAGAAGGAGGAGGAGGAGAAGAAGAAGAAGAAGAAGAAGAAGAAGAAGAAGAAGAAGAAGAAGAAGAAGAAGAAGAAAGAAGAAGAAGAAGAAGAAGAGATAAGCAGGTAATTAATTGAATTCAGGAAAATAACAGAACTATGCCACTTGATGCTGAAATCATGCTTCCTATCAAGTCTGGGAGTTCTACCTTGAGCCAAGTTCACATCTTGCTTGCTTGAAGTATTTCCTTCAGCTTAATTCTTATTTTACAAACATTTCTAGTTCTGTTTAGACACTTTCCCCCCACAATGAGCCTCACATGGAACAATAAATGGTATGGGGCAAAATTATTTCTTTTGGGGGCAGCTATGTGTCGCAGTGGATAGAACACTAGCCCTAAAGTCAGGAGGACCTGAGTTCAAATCTGGTCTCAAACACATAACACTTACTAGCTGTGTGACCCTGGGCAAGTCTCTTAACCCCAATTGCCTAGCCAAAAAAAAAAGAAAAAGAAAAAGAAAAAAAAAAAAGAAAAAAGTAAGGGGAAAAAAACCCTATTTCTTTTGTTCCCTTTCTAGGGCTCATAAATTTGGAAAGGACCTTAGTGGTTATTGGGTCCAATGCCCTCATTTTACAGGAGAGGAAATAGGTACAAACATGTTAGATTACTTGTTCAGAGTTATATGGCTAATCAATGTCTAAAGCAGGACTTGAATTTGAATCTTTATGACTTTGAGACCAGCATTCTATCCACTATGCAGCCACCAGATGTCCAAATTTGATTTTCTTCATTTTCAGTATTTATATTCCCCAATAATATGGCAATCACTTATTGCCTATTAGCATATTTTTCATAAGTGGAACTAATGAGAATATCATTTCATCTTCAGTGCTTATGCTGTGGCATTCTAGGCAGTATCACAACAATCAGAATTTCTGGCATGAGAGGGAGAAGGGCCAGGAAGAGGTGTTCCCTCAAGTGCCCAGGGCTCTACTCATGTATAACTTGAGAGAATACAATCCAAATTTGGAATTGCATTTGGAAACCAAAAGGGAATCAATGCCAAGGGTATCATTTCAGTATGTTTTTAGTACTCTGGAACCTGGCCACTCACTGTGTTCTGCAA